TTCTCTCTCTCTCTTTTGATAAGACTAAGTAGAGCGTTCCTCGCACTTTTGTCAAAACCAAGGACGGATCTATTGCTAGGCTAGAGTGGGCTCCAGCCTAGGGGAAGATTTTTAAATATTAAATATAGTTAAGTTTCCTACTCCAATAAATATTAGCCCATTACACAAAATAAATATAATAAACTAATAATAGCCCAATTTAAGTAAAGTAAATAATAGCTTTATTTAAAATAAGCCCACTCCTGAAGCATATAGGAAATAATAAACATCAATCCAAACCTATATAAAATTGATTAGAAGTAGAACTCACGCAAAGGCTCTACCAACTTGACCTATTCTCAAAAATAATAATATAAAAGTGAAATAAAAAGAAATTAATGTAGGATAAGGGTAAAATAGGAAACACTACAAAACAGAAGCCCTTTTGCGAGGGCATTTTGTCTTTGCAAAAGGCCTTTTGCCGTCGCAAATATCTTTTTTCGACTGCAAAAGTCCGTCGGCAGTCGTTAATAAAAGCTCGGTTGCAAATACTTCATTTCCGACCAATCCGTTGGAAATAATGTATTTCTGATGCCCATGCTTCATAGCTATTGCTTAAATTTCTATCGGAAATGGATTTTTTAAACGACCTTTTAAAACGACCCTACATATTTATTTCCGACCGTACATGTGGTCGTAATTACTTATTTGATTGTCAGAAATAGTTCTTTTATCGTGATTTTTTGTTTTTGTGAATTCATATTTTCAACCAATGAGTGTCGTCAGAAACACTTTTTCCAACAATGATATATTATTTGTGAGGGCTAGATTTCGTCGCAATTATCATTACCGACCAAAATAGTTTGTGGAAAATAAATAATAGCTCGTCGGAAAAGAGTATAAAAATATATTTTCGATGGGCAAGTTATGTCGGAAATATATATTTCCAACCATATTTATTCGTCGCAAAGTTTGTCGCAAATAGATTAATCCTGTCGGAAAATATTTTCGACCAACAAGTGGTCGGAAATATAATTGTTTCGACCCGATTATGTCGTGGGGAATTTTGTCGGAAATAGGCAATTATTGTCGGAAACTATTTCCGATGATAAAGTGTTTGTTGGAAATATGCATTACCAAGAGGGAAATGCGGTCGAAAAATGTAATTATTTTATAAAAAAAATTAATAAAAAGAAATTTGAATTATAATATTTGCTAGAAATAGTTTTCTAATCATCCATATTTAATTGGTAATAATAAATAATAAAAAATTATACGACACCATATTGTACTAAAATTTTATGCATTCAATTAAAATTATTCTATATAGTTAAAACATAAACAATCCCCATCATCCTTAAAACATATAAGCAATCCGCAAATATATCAAAACTTTGAAAATCAAAATACATATTGTAGCAAAATACAATTGATGTTGCACTACTCGTCTTCGAGGTGAGCATCTGAACAACTATCTACATTGTCCTGTCGAATAAAAGATAATAATTAATAAGACATAAATCATTTGAGAATAAAAATAACAAATACAATATTTAACAGTGAGCAAAATATTGAAATGAGAAAGAAAAGAGTTCACCATTAAAGCAGATTGTCTTGAGCGTGCATAAGTATTTGAGTTGTTTTCCCTCATACTTTGAACTAGATCTTTCAATTCATACAGCACACTTTTCAAGTCCTTCACTTCCTCCTTTAATTTCTCATGCTCTTCTTCACGTTCTAAGCATATACATTTATTACAACCTTGGTCTTCTGAAACTTGGAAAGAACATTCAATTAGAAAATGATGTTTTCTTTAGTCAGAATAAGGGCATCTATATGTCACAAACCAGTCAACATATAATTAAGAACGACCTGTAGTTAACTAAGGGGAAAGCTTGTAATTCTTCTTTTGCATAAAACTAGACTTAGATTGATGATATACAGAAGCCAATCTATTCAACCATTAATTTTTTCCAGTGATGAAGCTTCAGGAACTTCACCATTGACATTTTTGTTCTCATTCTTGGACTTACGATCATCAAGGTAGTGCTGATAAGCATAAGAAATAAAGCCCCAAATGGCCAAAACCATGGCCATTGCCTTAATTCCATCCATTTTGTCGTGGAAGAAGATCACAGCTAGAACTGGAACAACAGGCAAACCCATAGCACTTATGGCATTGGAGAAGAGGGAAGAGGCCTCCAAAATCAAGCCTATTGCGCCAATACCAAAAAGCTGCCATGTTATAGCTGTCCATACCAAATTCATAACATAGGATACCGTCCCTAGTTTGTACATCCCCATCTCTTTCTTCAAACCCTTCCACTCTCCGCTAGCGAAAAGCCCGACCAAGATGACACAGGTTGCAACTAGAGCTTGATACACTATCATATCCATGACCACTCTAAATGTCTCCTTTCTTATAACCCTTTTGAAGGCAAGTTGTGTTAGGGAAAGCACCAATCCATATCCGGCTGATGCCCCAACAGTGCATATGAACCCGATCGCATACTTTGTTTTCGATCCTCCACTAGGGTCATCCGCGGAGTCACCTTGAAACACGAGGAGGGTGGAGGAGATGGTGAGGAGAACTAGAGAATTGACAATGTAGGGAGTGAACTTTTGTGAGTTGAGGAGGAAGGAGAAAAGAGCATTGAAGGCCAATTGGGATGCACAAATGAGGGAATAAGTAGACACAAGAAGGTAAGCTAGGCCTACAGAATACAAGTAGCAGTCCAGTGCTAATAAGAGGCAATAGAGCCATTTACTGATGCAAGGATTAAGGTGGACGGTTGTTTGAATTGGACGGTACTATTTTTTGTGATTGGATTTCTGCTTGCTGCTGGGATGCAATAGTAAGGAAGCAGGACAGGAAAGCCACAAAGTTGTACCACTGTTGCCAGCCATTTGCTGTCGCCGCCTTTATCGAAGTACAATCTTCCCAAGAGTGTTGCAGCTAACTGGCCAGCGATGACAAGGAATGCATAAATGGCCACTTTAAGCCACCAGTTGAAACTTCTGTGCCGAGGAAGCAGTGACCGGTTGGGAACATTTGTATGCCCTGGTGAGCTTGCTTCATTTGCTTCCTGAGCTATAAGAACAGATGTTATAAGGAACTTATGTGTTAATCTTTGAAATTGAGTCATTTTACTGAAGTGGTGCTTTATTTGTAACTGCAGTGTTTCAGTGCCCAGAGAGTTCTAGATGTTTTTGAACATCAAATTCTGTCACAAAGTTTCTCTCACTCGCTATACTATGATTATGATAATAAATAAATAAAAGTTGGGATTTTTCAGAATTCTCCCTCCAAGCTCCTTTTGTAATTTTTATGACTCATAACTCACAAGAACAGAATTCACTTCTGAACATCAACAAGTAGATTAACTTAAGCATATATCAGGTGCTAACTTGGTATTCTCTGATAAGATCACATAGAAGTAAACTTACTGCACTAAAAAAAAAATTGACCAAAGCCTGTGAGTAAATGAGTTTGACATACCCATGATGCTGAGCTGCAGTTCTTGTGCTTCTCCCATGTTAAAAAATCAAGAGAGAGAGAGAGAGGTCTTGCTTCAATTCGCATGAAAATATTATTGGATTAATCTACATGTATCATGTTGACTGTCAACCAACCAGCATGGGATTGAAGACATGCATGCAATTTTACAGTAGATATAGATAGATACATGGATATTTCCAATTCAAAGTCCTAATTGGCCTTTGCTTCTTGCCGTTCTATTATTGCTTGCTTGTGTTCTCTAAAAACTGCAAGTTGCAGTTCAAACTAGATGGGTACTGATTTCTATGAGAACCCATGTCAGTATCACCATACATGGGTATTGATTTCTATCTTTCTGGAAGACAATTTGCTAAAGATATGCTAAAGGCTGCCATAGATAATTTCCTCTTTCCAAAGAGGAAATTGCTGTCCGTTCAAACAATTTAAGAGGAAATTGCATGATGTCCGTTCAAACAATTTACTAAAGGTATGCTAATACCCAGTACCCATTTTTCTATATCTATAATAACCTTTAAAGATGCTAAAGATCTATAACAACCTCTACATGAGCCGGTACAACGTGAAGCATGATTTGAAGTTTTCTTTATCTATAACAATACATGGATATTAGCAAAAATGTAGTAGGTTACCTGTATGGCTCAATGGCTTTCTTGATATTGCTGAGGAGAAGAGGGTTTAGGGAGAAGACGTATGAAGAAGACATATGGAAGATTTTTTTTTTCTCTTTTGTGGCTGCTGTTGAAAACTGATAACTGTTAGGGTTAGCAAAAAACCTAAATTAAAAAAGAGGCTTGAGCGGCAAACAAATAATTAATTTGGGCTTTCCCCCACTTTTTTTGGGCAAACGGGAGTTAATTGCTGATTTGTTTATATTTTGTTTAATTAATTAATTAATTAAAGAAAATAAAACAAAGGGCTTTGAAACTTGATCACATTTGAGATTAGTATTTGTCAAATATACGGTTTCTGTAACAAATCTATATTATTTGTACTTAAATAATTGAATTCCTTAAATTATTTGAGATTGATAAAGACATTTGTATTTTTTAGTGTTGATCATGTTATCTATACCCGGCTGTACGTTTCAACTCCATTATGTTACATATTTAATGATAAAACAAAAGGAAGGATCAAGCTAAAATTGATGGTCTTATAGTACGAAAGAGTCCGTTTTAAACTTGATCAAGTTTAAATATGTTGATCAATCGGAAGAACATGTGATCAAGAGTATTTGAAAATCTAAAAAAACCATTGATGTGTTGAATATGATAATTCGAATCCAAATTCGATATGGTATATTGCATTTTAGGCCAATGTAATCCAAATCCAATTTGTTTACGATCCAAATTTGAATTAGGCCAATTGAATCCAAATTCATGAAATCAATAGTGTTGAAACAGACAAATCTATATTATTTGTACTTAAATAATTGAATTCCTTAAATTATTTGAGATTGATAAAGACATCTATATTTTTTAGTGTTGATCATATTATCTATACCCGACTGTACGTTTCAACTCCATTATGTTACATATTCAATGATAAAACAAAAGGAAGGATCAAGCTAAAATTGATGGTCTTATAGTACGAAAGAGTTTTATTTCAAAATTCGAATACAATCTAGATTCGTTTACATTAGTAATTTCACTTAATCCAAATTAGGCCAATGTAATCCAAATTAAATTCATTTACATTAGTAATTTCACTTAATTCTTTCGATATGATGATGAGGGAAATCAAACTTTTTTATGTTATTTGATAATTTGTTATCTTTATCAATCGGAAGAACATGTGATCAAGAGTATTTGAAAATCTGAAAAAACCATTGATGTGTTAAATATGATAATTCGAATCCAAATTCGATATGGTATTGCATTTTAGGCCAAATTCAATAGTCTTGTTTCCCATATCACCATGTAAAGGAATTCAATTATTTTTCTTGGATTTGGTGACCTCCCCTGAAAGTTTGAAAATGCACGAATTTGCTTCACCCGTTCAAACTAGGTAGAGAAAACAACACAAAATTCTAACTATGGATTGAGGAAACCCAATCATGCTTTATCATCAGCCCACACACGAGTTATTGTCTTTCAAAATTTATTCCATATTTAGTCAGCACCCAAAAAAACAAAAAAAACAAAAAAAAACAAAAAAACAAAAAAAAAAAAAAAAGAAAAGAAAAAGCTGGAGCCGCGGGGGGTGGGGGAACACGCCCAAAACTTACCCATATTAGTTTTAGCTTTTACCCTAACTTCAACAGCAGCAAAAAGAGTAACCGTGTGTTTGGCAAAAGGAAATAAAGACGGGATTTGCAAATCTCATAATCGGTGGAATTCTGCAAATCTCAAGAGCAGGGGAAATTTTTTTTGTTGCGCGCCAAGAAATACACCTTATATCAGTTTTCTATCAAGAGTGGGAGAAGAAGGCAGGCCATCCAAGTTTCGCAGGTGAGCTTTCATTCTAGTTGCAATTTTTTTATTTTTTTTGTTGATATTATTTATGGGTATTCAATTTAATGGGTTTGATCTATCTATCTGTACTTTCTTTTTGTTATATGATTCTTTATCTAATGGGTTTGGCTGGGCTCTGTTTGTATTCTACTTTCTGTTTGTATTCTACTATCTGCACAGTGATTCTTTATCTCTACATTCTGTTTTGTTATCTGATCTCTTCTGGTTTCATTTTGAAACTAGATTTCGACCCAAAAAACAGAAGTTAATCATCTTTTTTAATCTGATAGAGTGTGTTTGGTTTTGCCATCTATCATCTTTCAATCTAAGACTTCGTTTTGCTCCAATAAAGGTATAGTCTCAACCTATCCTTGTTTTTTAATCTGTGTTGTTCCAGTAAAGAATAGATTATATGTTGTGAAAGTATTGTTTTCTGCACTTTCTGGCTACAGATTTTTACTCTTTATTTATGAATTGGCTTGTTGGCCACCAAAGAAGAAATAAAAAATTTGTCCATCATCTGACTGGTTTTGCCTCTGTGTTCTTTGCTGCTGTGTATTTCAATGAAGAAGTATTATATGAGCATAAAAGTATTAATGTTTTTTAATTAATGGGGAAGAGGATTTGAAATTAGGACATCTTCTATAACATTAGGAAGAGAAATATGTATGACTAGATCAAGAACACATGGTCCTGTTTGTTTTCTGTTTTCCTTCCTTTTATTGTTCTAGATGTGTACACAAATGACTAAGGGAAACTAACAAAAGGACACCCAATTTACTGGTTTGCAGTCAAAGAAAACCAAATTTAACTCAGAAATCATTTGCCTTCATATTCTAGTATGTTTTGGGTGGTTTGTAACTTTTTACAGGACATCTTCTATAACATTAGGAAGAGAAATATGTATGACTAGATCAAGAACACATGGTCCTGTTTGTTTTCTGTTTTCCTTCCTTTTCATGTTCTAGATGTGTACACAAATAACTAAGGGCAACTAACAAAAGGACACCCAATTTACTGGTTTGCAGTCAAAGAAAACCAAATTTAACTCAGAAATCATTTGCCTTCATTCTAGAATGTTTTGGGTGGTTTTTAACTTTTTACAGCCATCTTCACAACCCAGAACCATTAATTAGTCCCTTGCGGCTGTGATAAGTCTATTCTGAGGCCGTCCATGTGATCTGCATTTTTGCCAGGATACCATTGAATTTCCAAAAATTTTAGCTAAATATCCTACTGCTTAGTGAATTTCTGACAAGTAATATCCAACTGCATTTTCTCCATCAGCACATAGTATTGCACTGTTTTGTATCCATCCATGATATTTTGGTGGTTATAAGGTATATATGATTTTTTGGAGTACTTTAAGCATTTCTAGGTGAAACAACTATTTAACTGATAAAGCTGTTTATCATATTTGAGGACAACCTACAATAGCTCAACCCATTTAAACACACTTAGGAGACCTTTTATTTCTTCTTTTCTTCAATTTACAGCTGAACTATTCTATTTTGGCACTTCTGTGACTAAGAATTTGGTATCAGCAGTATCAACCCTTCAGAGAATAACTCTCATTAATGTTCATGTAATTGTGTTATAAGAAGTCTAAGATGTGTGCACCAGTGCTAAAGTGTTGAATTTCTTTTTATGCAGGAGGAGGCTTCTACTATCAAGGCCGCAAGAAAAGCTTGGTACAAAACTATGATCTCTGACAGTGATTTAATTTATTGCTTTGAAAATCTAAGACTCTGTTTTGTTAGTCTATTTTGTTGTGGTATTTATCTGTGTCTCTGCTGCTGCTGATACTTTTGGGTGATGTTTTAGGGAATTACATAATATGTCATGTTTAAAAAGAATTTTCATGACAAATCAAATTTGGACCTCACCCATTCCTTAATGCTTCCCTGATTGTCATTTAAGAAAGCATATCAGCAGCATCAACCCTTCAGAGAATAACTCTCATTAATGTTCATGTAATTGTGTTATAAGAAGTCTAAGATGTGTGCTAGTGTCAGTAAGTTGCCTGTGTGAGACGTCTTAGTTTCATGACAATGTTAGCTACTTTGGTTTGCAATACAAGCATAATTTTGTTTTGGATTCCTTTAATTTTATGCGAATGGTGGATGCATGGCACGTTGGTTTGGTTCTTTCTTTCTTGTTGGGTCTACATGATAACCAAATTCTCTTTAAAAAAATCTGTTTTCTTCCCTAGCTAATAATATATTTTGTTAAAAGAATATATGGCATGCAGAGAAATGCTAGTCAAACTTTTGGGTGATGTTTCAAATATGAAAATGATAAAGGTTTAATATCTGGATTTTTGGTCGTTTGTTCTATTAATATTAATTGGATCTTATTTATGCAGAGAAATGCCTGTTGATAAATCTTGGATGCAATCTGGGAGGTCGTCAGAAGATTATTTTGTAGGAGTTGAAAGTTTTCTCAATTATGCATACAACCATGTTAAGCCGAATGATTCTAAGATCTTCTGTCCTTGCTCTAAATGCAGTAATAGATATAGACATCTGAGGTATGAGGTACACAAGCATCTTCTTTATGATTGAATTAAACTAACTTATACTACATGGCATTTGCACGGTGAGGGTGAGGATGAGGATATTGATGAAAGTGATGAAAGTGATGAAAGTGATGGTGACAATGATGGACATGATGTGGCCAGTATGGAGCAAGACGATGATATGCATGGTTTAATAGAAGAAGGTCGTCCACAAGATCCAAATGGAGATGCGCACAAGTTTTACAAATTGTTAGAAGAGGCAGAACAACCATTGTACGTTGGTTGTGAATCATATTCTAATCTGTCTTTTGTTGTGAACCTTATGCATATCAAGGGTATTGGTACTATGAGCATTAAAGCATTTGGTATGTTGCTAACATTGTTGAAAAATGCATTTCCTTTTTGTGAGAAGTTACCTACAACTACTAACGGTGCAAAGAAAATTATTTCAGATTTAGGTCTTCATTATAATAATATAGATGCATGCAATAATGATTGCATCATTTATTATAAGGAGCATGCAAATGCAATGCAGTGTCCTACATGTAAGCTTTCGAGATGGAAGAAACAAGGAAAGGGTAGCAAAAAGAAAGGTAAAAAGGTTCCATGGAAGGTGCTTAGATATTTTCCACTCACACCAAGACTTCAAAGATTATTCATGTCATCCAAGACAGCTGTAGATATGAGATGGCATTTTAAGGACCGTGTAAAAGATGGAGTGTTGAGGCATCCAGCAGATTCTGAGGCTTGGAAATCGTTTAATCAAATTCATGAGTCATTTGGTATGGAACCTGGAAATGTAAGACTTAGTTTGGCAACAGATGGATTTAATCCTTTTGGGAACATGAATTTGCATTATAGTATTTGGCCGGTTCTTATATACCCATATAATCTTCCTCCGTGGATGTGCATGAAGGACCCTTATGTTTTCATAACTTTACTTATTCCTGGACCTAAGGGTCCATGCCATGACATTGATGTATACATGAGGCCATTAATAGACGAATTGCGAACATTGTGGGAAATTGGTGTTGAAACGTATGATATATATGCAAAGCAAAATTTTCAGATGAGAGCTGCACTTCTTTGGACTATCAATGATTATCCAGCATATGCATACATGTCAGGTTGGAGTACGTCTGGTAAATTGGCATGCCAATATTGTGCATCTGATACTTCGCATCGGCGGTTATCTCATGGGTCTAAAACATGTTATTTGGGTCATAGAAGATTTTTACCGTCTGACCACGTATGGCGTAATCAACGAAGCCAATTTGATAATGCAAGGGAAATAAGACTTGCACCCAAGAGACCATCTGGTGATGATGGCACACCTCCCGAGCCATTAACCGGAGAAGAAGTGTTGCATATGGTTGAAGATGGTGACAGAGTTTGTTGGAAGAAGAAATCAATATTCTTTGATCTCGAGTATTGAAAATACCTTTATGTGAGGCATGTCCTAGATGTTATGCACATTGAGAAGAATGTTTGCGATAGTATCATTGGTACATTGCTGGAGATCCCTGGAAAAAATAAAGATGGGATTGCTGCTCGATTAGATTTATTGAACATGGGGGTCAAAACTGATTTGCAACCCTAGTATGGAGAAAAACGTACTCGTTTGCCTCCCGGGCCTTGGAATTTGTCAAGAGTAGAGAAGAGAGAGGTTTGCAATTCTTTCTATGGTATGAAGGTCCCTGAAGGTTATTCTTCAAATATAAAAAATCTTGTATCTTTACAAGATTCAAGACTTCTTGGCCTTAAATCACATGATTGTCATACCTTAATGCAACAATTGCTCCCTGTGGCAATTCGTTCTGTTTTGGAGAAGCCTGCAAGGTATGCAATAACTCGTTTGTGCTTCTTCTTCAATGCTATATGTGCAAAGACTGTTGATGTTTCCAAGCTAGATAAGTTGGAAGAAGATGTAGTAGTTACTTTGTGTTTGCTTGAGAAGTACTTTCCCCCTTCATTCTTTGATATCATGGTTCATCTAGTAGTACATCTTGTCAAAGAAGTTCGTCTATGTGGGCCAGTGTATTTTAGATGGATGTACCCGTTTGAAAGATATATGAAAGTGCTAAAGGGGTATGTTCAGAATCGTACTCGTCCCGAAGGTTGCATTGCTGAGCGGTATATAGCTGAAGAAGCTGTAGAGTTTTGTACCGAGCATTTATCTGATGTTAGTACAGTTGGAGTGCCTTCAAGCCAAAAGATGGGAGTTTCAAAGCCATTATCAGGTTGCACAGTGAGCGTAGTTGATCGGGACCTGTTGAACCAAGCACATCTATATGTCTTGGAGAATACGGAGGAAGTCCTACCTTATATCGAGTACGTATGAGTTTTATTCTTTAAGTTTCCATTTTAAATTATTTCTTATGTTTATCTTATATGTTTGGGACCGTAATACTTGAATTTTGTGTGTCATGTAGGCAACATATGATCCACATCCAGACCGCTTATCCAAAATTTAGAAAGAGAACAAAGTGGCTGCAGGATAAGCACAATAGCACTTTCATTCAATGGCTACGCTTCAAGGTATATGTTATTGAATAACATATTGGACTTTTAATTTTCTTCTTTCTATGTTAGATTGAATTAAGTTATGATTAATTTGCAGGTTCAAAGTGAACTTACTGAGGAAGACAATCATGGCGTATCAGAAAATTTAAGGTGGCTAGCAGCTGGTCCAAACATGGCAGTGCCATTATATAGGAGCTATCTCATTAAAGGTATTAAATTCAACATCAAGGCACAAGATGATGTGTGGACAACTCAAAATAGTGGAGTTTATTTACTTGCACATACTATGCAAGTTGCTAGTGCCAAGGATAAAAACCCAATTCTCTCAAATATGGGTTTCTATGGTGTCATTCAAGAAATTTGGGACCTTGACTACCAAAAGTTTACAATCCCAGTCTTTAGGTGTGATTGGATTGATAATACTTCTGGTCTTGTAGTGGACGAACTTGGATTTACCCTTGTAGATTTGAGTAAAATTGGACATAGGAATGACCAATTTGTTTTGGCTTCTCAAGTCAAACAAGTATTTTTTGTTGACGACCCGATGCATCGTGGTTGGTAGGTAGTGTTATCGATGTCTAATAGAGAATATAATGATGTTATTGGTGATGATGTCTTAGGTGATGTGAGAATTGAGTGTGAGCCATTTACTAGAGGGATGCCAAATGTTGACACATTTGATGAAGTGGTGGGTGAGTTAGGGAGTCAAAATATTCGAGATGGGTGTGAAGATATATGGATTGAATGATGCTTTATGTAATTGGCAGTGTATGACATTAATTTTGTAATATATTGTAATATGATTTCTTCACTTTCATTATACAGGTTTTCGCCACAAAACAATCAGTACAAAAATTACTGGTTCCAGATTACAAACACGACGGTCTTGATAAAAATGTGAAAAACAAACGTCTGTTCTAATAAAAAACGACGTTTTGGAGCATTCAACGACTGCAATATATTTACCGACGTCTTAAAGCAACGTAACAATGAAGAACCACGACGCTATTGTGAAACAGTTATCCAGGATAACACGTCGGACAAGCATAAAGAACCGCCATGTAATTCAAAATAACACGACTCCAATCCCATAATACCGACGTCTAAAAGACGAGATCTCTAACCTGAACGTTACAAAAGACGACGTCGTCATGAATTTACCACGTCGCATGTTCTTTCATAAACGAAGTGGAAAAGGATAAATTCACAATGGTATTTGAAGTCCTTTGGTAAATTTGTCGACGTTAAGATATATGAATTAGACGACGTTAATTTAATGAAGACGTATAAATTATGAAACACGGCGGTATTTTTCATGGTAACGATGTTGTATATAGATGACAATGTCGTCTTTATAAATTAATGTGTCGTAATTAATGACCCCATCATTTTTTCCACGTCGTTTATTTTCAGATAATGTCGTTAAAATTATTTTATACGGCGGTGGAATGAGAAACGATGCCGTTTCATAGTCATTACACAACGATTATATTTCAAAATATGACGTATAAATTCTATAATACGGCTCTCATTTATTTGGAACCGACGTTGTTTATT